TTGTTAATTTGTATTTCCTTTTCTGGTCCTTCTTTCCTTCCTTCCTTCCTTCCTTCCTTCCTTCCTTCCTTCCTTCCTTTCTTTCCTTTTTCTGAGATTAGTTTTGGCTTCATAGCCCAGGCTGGCCAGAACTTCCTACACAAACCAGACTGGCCTCAAAGCTGTGCTCCTGGCTGTCCCTCCAGAGTGCTGAAATTCCAATCCTGAGCCACCACACACACATTAATCTTTTGTGGTAGGGTCTCTGATATCTCAGGCTGGCTTCAAACTCATTATCTAGTCAAGGATGATAACCTTGAGCTCCTATTCCTCCTCTGCTCACTTTCCAAGTGCTGGAATTAGAAAAATGTGCCACTACTCCTAGCCCTGTAATGACTCGTGTATGTGAGACCCATAAGGTGGGTGTGAGAACTTGTGTATGCAGGTGTGTGTGCATGTTTGTGGACGCTAGAGGTCAATGTCTTTTTCTGCAGATAGTTCACATTTTTTGAGACAGGAGCTCTCATTGAACCCGGAACCCACTGAATGGCTGGACTGTCAGGTCAGAGAGTGCTAGCAATTCTCTGGTCTCTGCTCATAGCACTAGGGTTACAGGCTCTTGCCACCTTGCCCACCTTTTTACATGGGCATTAGGTGTGCAAACTCACCCCATTTCACAGCAAGTACTTTACACACTGAGCCATCTCCCTTGCTCTGGAGACCAGGCTGGCCTCGAACTCACAGAGATTCGCCTGCCTCTGCCTCCCGAGTGCTGGGATTAAAGCTGGTGTGTACCACCAATGTCCAGTCAATGGCCTGAGTTTCATCCCTAGCATACACACACACACACACACACACACACACACACACACACACACACACTCTGTTGAGGCAGGGTCTCTATAAATTCAGACTCACTGTGAAGGAGACTGCCCTTGAACTCCTCATCCTCCTGCTCCAAAGCTACACAGAGAAACTCGAAAAACCAAAAAGAAAGAAAAAGAAACTCAGGCCATTGGACATGCTAAATAAAATGTTCTATCACTGAGGTAGAGGTATAGAGACAGAAACTTAAACACAAGCGTTCATGATTGTATTATTTATAATCAAAAAAGTAAAAAAGCAGCCCAAATGTAATTGAAAAAACAAAGCATGGTCTATACACCCATACATTGAGAAGATACTACCCAGTAGTAAAAAGGCATAAACTACTAACCCCTGAGCAAACACTTGGGTACAAATAAAGCCTCAAAAACACTATGCTGTTATGAAAGAAGCCAGGGACAAAAGTTCACATGATTCCATCTAAGTGTCTGGAAATGGGAACTCTATACAAGCTAGAAAGTAGATTAGTCCCCAAGGCTTGGGAACAGGAATAGAAGTTATTCTGAAGGGGATAAGGGTTCTCATAAGTGATATTTTATTAAGAAAATTGGAGCCAGGCAGTGGTGGCCAATGCCTTTAATCCGGAGGCAGAGACCGGTGGAGCAAGTTCCAGGACAGGCTCCAAAGCTACAAAGAAACCCTGTCTGGAAAAACCAATAAATAAATAAATAAAATTGGATTTTCCAGATACAGATTCTGTAGATCAGGTTGGCCCTGCACTTGCTGTGTACAAAGCTGAGGATGGCCCCGAGTTTCTGAGTCTTCTATCTCCATCTCTTGAGTGCTGGATTACAGGAGTGGCCTACTGTGTCTGGTTTTTGTTTTGTTTTGTTATTTGGTTTTTTGAGAAAGCATTTTTTCTGTGTAGCCCTGGCTATCCTGGAACTCACTCTTAGACCAGGCTGGCCTTGAACTCAGAGATCCACCTGTCTCCCAAGTGCTGGGATTAAAGACAAACATGTATGGGAAGGGCAGAGACTGCATCTCCTGGAGCAGGAAGACGAGGGCAGTTATTTACTCTTATCTGTGTAAGTGCTTCCCCAATAAAACACCTATTTATCTCTTATCTTGGGACTGGTGAACTCATTTAAACCCTGCCTTCAAACTACTGCACCTATAATCCAATCTACTTTGGAGGCTCAGGCCAGGAGGATCTGGAGTTCATAGTCAAACTGGGCTACCAATTGAGATACTGTGACAAAACTGAACAAACCAAATAAATAACAACCATGTCTAAACTAGAAGGTAGTTATGGACTACCTTCTAGAATTCTTAGAGATCAGGAAACACAAACACTGAGAAGATCTGTGGGGCTGGAAGGCTAGGGCACTCCATGTCTCATCTTCTCTAGGAATAAGCTTAGCCAGGGAGGTCCCTTCCTTCCAATTCCCCCATTCTGCCTTGATTAAGAACTAGACAGGCTGGGGGAATGGAGGTGGTTCAGAGATCAAGAGTACTTGTCCCTCTTCGAGACATATTTGATTCCCAGCATTTGTAAGGTGGCTCACAATCATCTGTAATTCCATGTTCAGGGGATCCAACTCCCTCTTTTAGCCTCCAAAGGCACCAGGCATACACGAGATACACAAACACACATGCTGGTTAAACGCCCATACATATAAAACAAAATGAGTAAATATTAAAACAAAACAAAATACTAGATGGGCAGTGAGGAAGAAATGCCTTCTGAGCTAGCCCCCAGGGGCTCTTCCTATTTCTTTTGTCCCTTCCTCTGGAGAGGTGTAATATAGGACCCAGAACCCAGCCTGTCTCTGTAGGGGAAGCAGCCACCCCTCCTGTAGTAGGCGACGGAGGGGTCGAGTGCCCTCTACTGTTCGCTGTGGGAAGTGCAGCAATTGGGCCAGTCGACGGGAGGGATTGGTGATGGGTCACTTCGTGTTCAGCTCTGCTGTCGTTGTTGTGAGAAAACCACAATTGTCTCATTTTACTGAGAGGGGCATTGAAGCACAGAGTACCTAGGCAATCCTGCTCAGGGTTGCATAGCTGGCCCTACCAAGTCTTCTGAAAAAAGATGGCGACTTGACACCAGGTCATTTCAGCTAAGGCACATTCCTGTTACAACCCCAGCGTTTTTTAACTGCTTCCATGCCTCCCGGAAAGGAAAGGTGGAAGGGGTTTCCCCTCCAGACCAGGACTCTTTAACAACACTGACCCCCTGCATTGAAGCCCTAAACTCAGGTTGGGGGAGCTGGCAGCTTTTGCAGTGGGAGGAGGAGGCCTGTGAACTGCATTGTTACATAATAGTCACTGATTTATTCACATAAGAGATCCACACGGTGCTGGGTGCAGGGCTGCAAATTCGAGAGACTCCAGAGGAAAAGGGAGGAGAAAGGAACCTCCCAGGCCAGGCTCCTGCAGCGGGCCAAGGCTGTTCTCAGGCATTTGTCACAGAGACTAGAGAAGAGCAGGGAACTAGATGCCTCTCCCACCAAGCCAAAGCCTGCTGAGGCTTCCAACCCCCTCTCTAGTTCCCTCTACACTTCCTCTAGCATGTGCATGTGTTCGTGAGTTGTATATGTTTAAGGTGGGGCCAGGGCTCTAGGGGCAAAGGAGCCTTGGCGGTTAGCTCCAGCTCAACCAGGTAACCTGGCAGAATCGCTTTGTGACAGTTGTTCCAGAGCTAGAACTCTGTCTCATAGAGGACACCTGGGGTGGGGGAGTTGGGGATCAGAACATCGAACCCCACCTTCCACAAGTCCTACTTTGGGGCCTTACCTTGGGCCTCTGCCAAGGGCAGGGTGAGTGTCTGCGTGTGCGGGAATCCATCCTATCCCTTTCCTCCAGGCGTTACTTGATATGATTTAGAAAAACAGTGTTCCTATTGTCACTGCTGGGAGGAGGATGAGGATGCAAGCTGCATCGGTTGTCCTGTTACAGAGAAATCCTATGCATGCCTGTAAGTGTAGCGCTCAGGAAGCTGAGGCAGGAGGATGGAGTTCTAGGCTAGCATAGGCTGCGGTGAGATTATCAGGAGCGGAGGGAGAGCAGCACTCCTTCGCCCCAGCCAGGAAATGATACTGTATCCCTCAGTGTCACTCTATCCCTAACTCCTACATCAATCTCTGTTGCTCTGCAGACGACAAGCAACTGTATCTAACAACCTGATGTTACAATGATGGTGAACAGCCCAAGGACTCCTCCATCCACCCGTTTATTCGCAAGTGTTTATTGTGCCGTTTGGGCAGTATTGATATATATGGCAGTGATCAAGACTGAATTCTACCGGCTGCTGGGCTCTTCTGTGCAGCCAGGACACTAGCTCATTCTAAACGCCTAGGAGAGATCAACACTAAGGAACAAGCCTCTTCCACAGACTGAGTAGGCTGTTTAGGAACTAAAGAAGTGATGTAAGAGGTGTGTGCTTTATCAGATTATGCTGTGGGAATTCACTTTTCTGTGGGTGGAAAGAGTCTGCGCGTCTCTTTTGGCTCTTTCTACAGCCATTCGGGCAGCTCAGGACCCAGAGGGTCGAATCCTAGGATTTGGAGCCTTCCGACTGTGCCAGCGCGTTGGAATTCCATTAAGAGGTGGGGTACTTCCATACTTCACCGAGAAAAGGAAACAGGCACCGAGAAAGCCAGCTTATTGTCTCCCGTGTGTCTGAAGTTCCCCTCCTCCGATTTATTTTCCTTTATATATCTTACACATACGTAGCGAATTCCTAACCACTCGCCCTACAAGTGGTTTTTGTTGTTTTGAGTTCACTGGATGCCAGGCCCTGTTCCAGGCCCCCCCAACCCCGAGCAAAGATCACAGGACACCTTGCTACGGCGACTCCTTGCTACGCCAAGCTCGTAAGCCATCGACGCTTGGTTTCATCTTTTCCCTCCACATTGTTTTTGAGCTTGTTGCTGTGAATGCAAGGAGCTCCACTAAGCTTCCAAAGGGCAGAAACAAATTTCCATTTTTACAAGCTACGGAAAACCCGCGACTGCTACCGGGTAAAAGAGTGGCTGGATCTGCGACCAGGTAAAAAGATTCCAGGATGCCAGCAGGCCACCGAGGGCGTTGCGTCTGGCCCCTCGCACTACCCGCGCGCGCCCGGACCCACGCGCCCCCATCCCTGCCTTGCAGCCCAGCAGCTCAGGGTCCACGTGTGTGTGTCTGTGTGCGGAATGGGGACGGGGGCCGTGCCGCCCGAGGGGTGGGGTCTGCGTGATGTCACAACAACGACGGCCAATCAGAGGCGGGCTCGCGGCGGCGGCGCTGGTATTGGGGCAGCGAGGGGGCAGTTCTCT